AATTGGCGCCCAACGTGGGGCTTGAGGTGCCTGCCTACCCATTAGCTGTTCACAGCCTACTGTTACAAAATCTACCTCTCAGGAATACACAAATACCATCAGACTATAACCAACCCATGTTGAAAACCAACAGGACCCTCTCACTGATGTTTTGAGAACTGAGCAAGCTGGGCTATATTAGGAGAAGAATTTATCTATGCATGAAGTTTGCTCTGGATTAAAGCAGGGGGCAAGTACAAAGTGAAGCAAACACTGGTGCACAGCTGCATGATCCAGGGCATGTAAGGTCCACCTGGCTTATGGAATATGGGCAACTTAAGAACAAAAATCTAGAACAAGGCATACAGTTTTGAAAATTTAAGTTAAATATAAATATCTCCCCATAATGAGAAGTAATGTTGCAGAAAACAGCAAAAAAATAAAACATTTAAAGCTCAAAGATGCTTTATGGCCTAGAGCATAAACATGATTACCCAAATAATACATATGCACAGGCCCAAGCCATGGACCTTAAAATGCTGAAAACCAGATGCAATAACGAGGATCCAGTTTGCGCAGAAAACATTGGCAAAGATCTCACAGTCACACTGTGTACTACCAAATGTCTAGACAACGCACGGAGGATTTAAAATGAAGTAAATGCTAACAGACAAACCATGTGGACTATGCAGGGCTCTGCAGTTCTGCCAATTGTCACAGAGGAGAGAGACTCTTAGAGGAAAACTACAACCTCCCACTCCCTCCATCCCCACAGGATGGGAACTGATCTCAGGCACTGAACCGACTTGTTTAAAAGTCTTGCGAAGAAAAGTGTACACTAGGAAGTAGGAGAGAATCAAAGTAAATTAAATCCATTGCTGATTCTCAGAACTGACCCTAGGTGAAAAGAAAATCTCTTCCATATTGCAATCACTGTCACAAAAGCACTTGCCTCACCAGTTTGGCTGTGCTGCAAAATACCACAGGCAGTTTCTCCAAAAAGATCTGTATGTTGAGACACTATTACATGACATACAACTTCTCTGTTTCAAAAAGAAAAAAGGTACAAAGAATGTAGCGCCATTATCTCTTAAGAACTGGTCACATGATGAACAACTGAGGCCAGATCTTTAGTTGGGGGAATCAATTAATTTAGTGCAACTGACAAGAGTTCAAACTATTCTTCTGACCATGTTTTCAGGGACACCTGGGTGCACAAAGCAGTGTGGCAAACAGGTTAAAGAAGGTTCTTCTCCCTATTCCACTATGCCCTAATGAGGCCATGTCTGGAGTACTAGGTCCAGTTCTAGGCTCCCCAGTTCAGGATAGACAACAAGTTACTGGAGAGAGTCCAGTGGAGACTACAAAGGACCCACAGCATCACTGCGCTGGAAAAGAGAAGACTCAGCAGGGATCTGATCAATGCCGATCAAGAGCTAAAGGGTAGGGGGCAAGAGGCTGGGGCCAGACTCTTGTCAGTGATGCCCAGTGACAGGATATGGGGCAACAGGCACAAACTGGAACTCAGGAGGTTCCATCTGAACGCAAGGAAAAAGATTCATCTTGTGAGGCTGCCAGAGCCCTGGAGCAGGCTGCCCAGAGAGGTTGTGGAGTCTCCTTCTCTGGAGAGATTCCAAACCTGCCTGGACATGGTCCTGGGCACCCTGCTGTGGGTGACCTGCTGGAGCAGGGGGTTGGACAAGATGATCTCCAGAGGTCACCTCCAACCTCCACCCTCCTGTGTGATTCAAGCCTGCCCAACCTTTTAGCTACAGACATGCAGAGCTCGAAATAGGGCATGTATCCAGGGGGTTACTTCCATTGCCTGACTAAATTCATGCTGACC